GGGGGAAGGGAGGGGGAGTGAGCTAAAGGTACTTTCGTTGTTTCATATGCCAGGCATACCGGTGTGGATGTGCCATGGTAGCGGGTTCTCCCATCGTTTGATTCAGACTGTTAATTCGGTCTTTAAAAACAGTTATCATGGTATTGCTGCAACTCTGTCGCAAGTTCGTAGATAACACAACCCTGATAGGAAGGTCTGCAGATATGCATCACTTGATTAAATCCTGTGTGCTTAACTGAGTGAGCTGTAAGTGATTTGTGCGTTGTTTGCCGGTTAACGAATAAAGCAGCAGTGAGTGGTGAATGATTTTACTAATTTTATTACTTTGATAATGAAATCAGCGCAGTTCCTGCTCGTCACTCAAGTTGCTATCAAAACGGAGCACTGGCCGAGAACGTTGTATACTGGGACTACCATGATGTTTGCTGAAAGTCCATACCATAAACATTATGGGTTGCAGCAGAGAGGGAAGAAAACACAGGATTTACTGCACCAATGAATACTCATGGATGCGGACAATCTTTCGAGCGCAGTATACGGCGGCAAGTAACCCTCTGCAAGAAGAGATGAAGGTTAAGTCTTTGGATGCAAGAGCAACATCAGCAACTGGCTCGAATACGCGTGAATCCACTTGGCGAATTTTCGACTGCTGAGTGTCGTGGATGAAAATCTGGTGCCGCTCGTCGATGCACAGAGCTCCCGGCTTTTCAACAGCAGCAATCATGTTCCTGGCACACGCACTGGATTCCCGGATGCTGAGCAACCAGATGTAGCCTCGACATCGCTCCACAACCAGCAGTTCTGTTATTGGACCAACTGCAGCAAGCACCTGTAACCCATTTTCACTGTGGTTTTTCACTGTAGCATTTTTGACAATTTAATTTGTGCTACTCCGTAGCAGCGGTGTGCTGCCATTTCTCGTCATCGTGCAACTGGCTACCACTTCATTCCTTTCTTGCAGTGGTACGGGGGTACTGTCACAGAAAACGCCCGTTGTTTATGGTAGACACTACGGAGTGGTTGTGAATGGCATAAATATAGATAGATCTAAGTGCTCCAGTTGATGCGATGAGCGTAGGTGCTTGTTTTTGCGTAGGATAGCGAGTTACGATTCGAAGGATCCAGAGGTAGTAAGGATGAAAGGTTCGATTCTCTCCTCGTACATGTCCTTTGCAAAAAAGGGGTACTGTAGGAAGACGCGTTTATGCTGCGAGCCAAGAAGACGCTATTCATCGAATGCGTTTCTAGGCATATGCCTTATCCACCTCTTTTCCAAAATTCGATTGAGCAGTTCATTGTGAGGTGGAAAGAAATGGCAGAATCTTCATCAGTTCGTAGGCATGACTTTTGCCGTAAAAGTCCCAGGGAACGGATAAGGCACAGTTTCGCGTTTCGTGTCGTCAAGCTTGCGCGACAAGGACTGTCATCTCTTCTGGTCAGCGGGCGGTTTTATTCCAATACTCAGCGTGACCTCCACAGTGCCAGGGGCTGCTAGGAAGCTAAAGTGAGGCGAAACTACTGTGGAACAATAGTTACTCGCTGGATATAAGCTGATAGCTGTAGACGTTACCAATAGATGAAGGAAATTGGCTAACACCACACCTGTCGGAATACGCTAAGGAGCAGGATTCAGAGCGATTTTTTCAGGTGGTAGCAGAGAAAGACAGTCAGCAGTGAAGGATTTGGTGTTGAGATCCACAACAGTCCAGAACAGGTTTCGTTTTTATGCGTTTTTGCCGTGCAGCGTTAGAGCGCTGCAACAGGCACCAAAAACGCATATTGCAACGACCCTGTCAGTGTGTGTGTGTGTGTGTGTGTGTATGTTTGTGTGTGTGTATGCATGTATGTATGTGTGTATGTATGTATTTAAGGTTTGGAGAAAATATGAACAAAAAATGAAAGAGTTGTAAAGAATTATTAAAGTTGGTAAGAAATGTTTCGGTCCATTAAGTCGTATACATTTCTTACCATTGCCACAGTGTATGTATGTATGTATGTATGTGTGTATGTATGTATGTATGCATGTATGTATGTATGTGTGTATGTATGTATGCATGTATGTATGTATGTATGTATGTCCGGGTGTTTCAACTCGCCAACCACGTAAGCTTTGAGGCTGAAATTTTGCCAGTGTGTTCCCCAGCCAAGTGCCATCCCAGGATCGCAATATCAACTCTCACGCACGTCTGGGCCCCGCATACGAGCATGTGAAAGTTTTGGCGCGAAAATTGATAACTCGGGATCGAGAAAAGCTGAAAGCTTGGGGGAATGTTCCCTACCTGTGCATGACAGAAAGATTTCAAATTCAGCTGCCCAGAGCTTCCTGAGGCTT